ATAGATATATATGTATCATTATTATCATTTCTTTTAAATACAAACATTATTTCGCATTAATTTAAAAATAAATCTGAAAGTTTTTGATAAATTTTTTAGAGTTTTCTAGGAAATAATTATTAACGTTAAGGGAACAGACATTGACTTTTCAACCAGACAGCTGGTTACTTTGACAGCGTTCCAAGCCACCATTCAGCCAAGCAAGTTTTCAAAGTAAATCAAAGCAAATTGAAGTCAGCAAGGCCCGCAAAGCAAGCCTGCATTGGGCCAGCGCCTTTATTCCTCTGATTCTTTAGTCTCTTTAAGTCTCTAGTATACCAGGGTAGCTTATGAATTCGTGCAGGGAGAAATGAAAGATCAGCACTAAGAATTTCGTAGATTTTCAGCAATCTGCGACAGTTTTTGACAGAAAAATTGAATTCCAATCTACTTCAAGGATTTTGGAACTCAGGGAGTCAAAATCGGCATCATCCCGAAAATTAAAAGCCATATTTGTATTAGGGCTGGACACTGGAACAAATTCGATAGACTTTAGAGAAAGAGATAGGGGGACGTGATGCATGTCAGATTTACAAATGGGGAAGGCACATTCAGTAAGATGAAAAGTCAAATTTTGATCAACAAAAATTGGATCTAGGATATTATTAAGCTGATTGAAAAACGAGTTTATTTGAACAAGGCTGATACTGAGCAGACTATCTATGAAGTTAATTTCATAGGAGTTATTAATATTCGTCGGTGTTAAGATGCCATTACCTAAAAGATTGGACCAGTTAATTTTATTCAAGTTGAAATCACCTAGAACACAAAAATGACACTCATTATTTTCGTACAGGTTAACAATGTTATTCACATGCTCAAAGTATAGAGAATATGTACTAGCTGGCGGAATGTAGGAAACACACACAAATATCTTGCCATGATTACCATGGATACATACGCAAAGCTGGTCAAGAAGAGAGTTATCATTTTCAAGCTGAACAGCAGAGGAGCGAAATGATCGATTAACAGAAATTAAAACACCTCCTCCCCTATGACAATTTATTTTATCTGCATCTCTATCTTTACGATAAGTAAAGAATAAATTGGGATCAAAAAATTCCCCATCAGAGAAGTTATTATTCAGCCATGTTTCGACAAGAACATATACATCGAATTCGCAACGAGAAGTAGCCAAGAAAACATCTTTAGTTTTAGTTGGCATTCCCGAGATATTTTGGTAATAAATATTAAAATTTTTTTGTTGTTCATAATATTAGTTCTATTAGCATTCAAGCGATTTTCATAATGTAAGCTACTCTTTCTGAAAAAAGGGAAACGGCCGAACATTAATCCCTAATGGCCATAAATTAGCATCTAAGAGTTTACTATAAAAAGCAGGAGAGACTCCAATTTTGAAATTAACACTGTTTAACTCATTAAGCGAGGCGTCCTTCTTAAATAGTTTAAAACAAGAGATACTATAATTGCTTGCTATGCCAAAGTGTTTGGCGACGTAAGAGATAATATTATCAGTGGTAACATTAGGCTTGAAAGAAGAAATATGGAGCCACATATTTTTTACAACAACATCAAGTTCATTAGACACATTTTTGACCATAGTCTAATCATGGGCATCGCTAAGAGCAGGTGTCGTTTGAGTAGTTGCGCCAGCATCAGCAGCAACGCCGATTTCAGCGACATTGATAGAAGTATTAACAGCAACGGCTTCGTTCGGAGTGAGAGTAGCAGTAGATTGGGCAGGAGAGACTCTCTCATCAACTGGCAGTAGCGAGCAGGCATTGATGTCACCAGCAGCAGCGGAAACAATACAGAGCATTGTTGCCGCGAAACATTTTTAGCGGTAGCTAAATTCAGGCTAAAAAAGAGCTAAAAATCGTCGTTGTGGCTAAAAATGGTAGCTAAATTCTTTTACCTACATATAAATATATAAGTATACACGCAAACCTTTTCTATAAGTAATGATATAGAAAAACAATGAACTCTGGAAAGAATTAATAATTTATTCAACAAATAAACTTGTTGTGTAACACATAAAGCATATTAAGGGCCGCCAACTTACCTATTTTAAAGTATAGTTAAATCGTTAATGGATAAGATAACGGCCCAGAAATGTAAAAAACATACATATACATATGTATGTACAGCTTAAAAATTAATTTCTTACATAAACAAAAAAATGAGATCACATTAAGAATACATAAGTACTAGAATCATATCTATATACAGTGTCGGACAATACTAAATAACTTAAATAATTTCAAACTATGCTTCGAAAAATATCCATTTGTAAAAGAAATTTTTAAAATGTTATAATTTACAAAGAATTAAAATGTCGGTGCTTTATTATTGTCCGACGCTGTATGTATCAAACAAACAAAAGAGTATTCATTTAATGAACTCATAGTAAAATAAATTAATCTATAAACATTTTTTTTAACACACTCTATATCAATACTATCATCGCTAAGCGATTCTTCGTCGTTACAATTTTGTTCATTTCTCATTAACCTGACGATATCATCTGTAAAATCAAAATCATGACATTTCTGTACATTTTTTAAGCCATATCTTACAGTTAATAAAGCGTTTAACATTGCAAAATTCATTTTATTTCTGTGCTTATTTTTAACGAAATTTATTATAGAAAACGTCCTTTCAACTTCTGCGTTATTTAAAGGTAAAAGAAGCAACCGATAAACAAACTTTTTCCACCACTTAAGCTAGCGACACAATGAACAGTTTATTTGCCTTAAAGGAAAGGCGTTCGCTTTATGAGCGAAGAGTGAAATTCATGAAAATCATATAAAAAATTTTAATGTCAATGATGAATAAATTTTGAAAAGGGCTAAAAAAAGGGCTAGGGGCAATTTCAAATTTTTGTGGCCAAAAAAAGAATTTGGTAGGCAAATTTAGCCACCAAAGGGCTAAAACGGCAACACTGATACAGAGGCTTGATATACTCACCGGAGCAGAGCAAGCGCTATGCGCGGAAGAAGTACCATTACTTACGGCAGCAGCAACAAGATTGAGAGACTTGGTACTAGGTCGTTGAATGCATTGAAGGCCGTCGTTGTTATTATTAGATTCAACGACATTAGCGCAAGTGTTATTTGAATTCACATTTGCATGAGAAGTTAATACCGTTTTTTTATTTTGCTTTGAAGCTTGATCAGAATTGTTAGGCACTGGTGTTTTGCTTGACACCGCGGGCGGCTTGATTATAGTATCAATTAAACTGATATGAAGATTTTTAACTTCTTGTAGAAGTGAAGCATTACTGTTGCCATGTCTATGTAGCTCAGCTTGCAGTTTATCAACTTTTTTAACTTCAGAGAGAAGTGACGCATTACAGTCGCTAAGTTTTTGTAGGTCAGCTTGCAAATTGTCAACTTTTTGTTGCAGTGATTTTTTGTCAGCAGCCAAGGAGCTTATAAGCGAAGACATTTTGGAATTTTAATTTTTAATAGAAACGAGTTCGTCAAAAAGAGTTTGTAGAGATATTGAATTATTTTCACATTTCTTAGCACCATTATTTTCTTTGGGCAGCTCAACATTGTCATTTTTACATAGATCAGAAACAGATTCGTCTATAGAGATAAGACTTTCATTTATAGCACTTTCATTAATAGCATGTACAGCAGGTGGGGGCGTATGAAGGGACTTTCGGCGCACAGCAGCACAAGTATCGCAATTGAAATGACTATTACCTTTTTGCAGAAATTCTAGATCAGCTGGCATT